ATGGAGCCAGGCAGGAGCCGCTCCCCTCAATGCAAGTGCGGCAGTGGAAGCCCAGGTAGCACCTCCACGGCTGGGGCAGCAGCTGCTGCTGCTGTGAACCCCAATTCCTGCTGGGGATCAACTTCATGGGCTGCAAAATCTTGCATTCTCCACCCAGAAGACCCGCTTGTTAAGTAAAAGCCTTGTGGGCAGATCCTAAGGGGCAAGGAGCACTTGAAGCCCTCCTGGAGTCAACAGGAATTGCTTGTGAGGGCTTAGGACCTCTCAGGATTTGGCTGTGTGGGCTTAGCAGCCGACCCACCAACATGCTTTTATTTCCCCCTAGTGTCTACTATTCCAGACCCTGTACTCGCCGCAGCATATGTTTCTCCTCTGGAGTCACAGCACACAAAACCACTTTGATTCCTAACACAGTCCCAGCTGGTCCCTCAGCACAGCACTGCTGACAGATGCCTTCAGAACGCCTGCTCTGTGCTCCTGCTTCAGCTCCTGCTGTGCCAGGACAACGCTGCAGGAGCCGCAGGGAGAGCTGCGTGCTGGGAGAAGGCCTCAGCAGTCTGTGCAGCCGTCAGAGCGGGATGGTGGAGTCCTGTGCCGGTAATAAGGAGGTTTGCATCTGTAGTTAGGCTGGGGAATGGAAAACAACACGGACAGCAATCCTTCTCCTTAAGCACACAGCTTCATTGCCAGGTAGAGAAAGGAAAAAATTGCCTTATTGCATGCAAGCAAAGCTTGAAAGTACTTCTGACATGTCCAACACTGCAGGCAGCAGAGAAAATCTCCCAGATGGGGCACTCTGTAAAACACAATGCAGCACACACACAGGCTGGCTGCCCACTGCCTGTGCTGCACAGCAACAGGGGCTGAACGATGAGGAGGTGAGCTGCTGTCCTGTCAGTCAGTGCCGGGCGGCTCTGATGGCTTTGCTTGATGTCATGGCAATCACCATCAAATAAGGTTACTAAATGAGCATGGTGCCAATTGCAAGTTGCTGTATTTGTCACCACGGCACTTCATATCTATTTTGAAGTGCTCGACAGGAGGAAACTACAAATATGCAAAAGGAAATAAGCCAAGTAATTCAGTTTCATTTCAGTTCTGTTTTCTTTTGGCTGGAAAGAGAAGAACAATGCCAAAGGCTTAAGAAGAAACATAATTTTTACTAAGAAAAGAGTGATCTGCTGATGTGGGGACAAGGGAGAGGGCATTGCGGGAGAGATGTGGTCAGTATCAAGAATAAAAGGCTGAGCTTGGATCGCGCTTGGGATAAATAGTAACCCGGGGGAGACGTGGTGAAGGAATAATTACATCAAGCCTGGCCGCCTCCGAGTGCATGTCACAGCTGAGGCAGGGCCAGAAGGCAGGTGGGGAGCCGCGGTTTCCCGGGCAATAGATAAATCTGTTACAACATCACTAAGACTCATCTAAATATGGCTTTGAGCACAGGATGCAAGGAGGAGGAATAAAGAGAGGGAGGAGTCCCTGGAGAGGCAGGCCCAGAGGCAGGCAGAAGAGCAAGGGCTGGAATGAGCGGAGGAGGTTTCTAACAGGGGCAGAAGTTCCTGAGAAAACAAAATGTGCCTGGATCAAGGAGAGGACTGAACTGTGACCTGTCAGATTGGACTGAAAAATCAGTGAGGGGCATTCTGACATACAAAATCTGGGACAGAGGGCAGGGAGGTGGGGAAGAAGGAGTGGAAAGCCTCCAGAAAGGCAGGCAGAAGGTCAGCTGGGACCAGGGACCAGTCCATCCCCATTTTCCTGGCAGTGTCCTTAATCCACCCACCTTAATCAGGAATCTTGCATTGACCAACAAAGCAAGCAAGGTGCTGAGGTCAGACCCTCCTCCTACAAATCCCCCACCACTGCCATTTCTTACAGCACTTGGTGGCACCTCTGGAAATGGAGCCTATAAGACCTGATTTCCCCCCCTCTGCCTCAGCCAGAAGCCTGCTTGGCCGTATCTGAGCACACTCTGGGTTTTCTTCCTTGCCCCATCTCACACCTACATACAGTCTCACTGTCCTGCCCAAATCCCCCTCACCTGAACAGTGAATATGCCAGAATGCCAGCTGGGAGAGCGGTGCTGCTGCTCCCCGTCTGCCCCATGGAGAAGCACAGATGGTCCTGAGAAAGTGGGGGGGGGAGGAGAGAGGGGGGAGGAAGGGAGGGGAAAGGAAGAAGCTGGGCACTTACTTCTGCCCAGAAATGCTGGCAGTCATGAGAGTGAGAGATCTGAGCATCCTTCAGCCTAGTTTTTGAGGTGTATTGTGGCCAGTGTGAGTCAAAGAGTGACAGACGCGTGCATCAGGTACAGCTGATGTCAGCAGGTGCAGAGGACACTCATGTCATAGCACATGACCGAGAGGCGGAGGTGGACATCCCCAGGGATGCCAGTGGGGATGGCTAGGGGCTGGAGAGACGGTGGGGAAGAACTTGAAAGACTACAAGCAAAGAGCTGAGCTGAAGAGTGGGAGGAGGAAGCAGCCAGGAGGCAAAGCTGTTTCTGCTAGGGGAGCGGCCAGAGTCCACTGCTGAAGGCTGAGGGCTCTTCTCAGGCCAAGCTAAGAAGCTCTTTCCCATCAGCTGGCAGGAAAGTGGTGCTCTGCCTGTGCCGTGGGCTCATGCGTGCATGGGGCAGGGAAGGGCTACCTGCAACCACCGCCAATGGCCACTAAATGAAAGAGGCTTTAATCCTGCTCCATTTTTCACAGAGAGGGCTAGGGTGCAGCTGTTTCATTTTTGCTTTGCTTTCTGCCTCTCATAGCTGTGTGAACGTCAGCCCCCAGCCCCTGGCAGGCTGCAGGGGAAGCTCAGCCCTCACAGACAATTTGTGAGCAGCACTCTTACTGGAATGAAATTATGCTCCTTTCTTGTGACACTGCCCCATCATTTAAAAGGCACTTTAAGTTGGGCTGCTCTTGCTCAGGTGCCATCTACTCCCTGACAGCCTGAGCTGGCAGTACAACATCTGCAACCCCATGCTCCATGGCTGCACCTTCCAGCAAGACTAAAAATATAAGCCAGAAAAAAAAGCAAATACAAGCTGAAATGGCAGCTTCTTGAGGCAAGGAAGAAGGGAGAAGCAAAGAAAATACAGCAAATGGGATGGCTGTGAGGGTCTACATCATTTCACATAAAAGTTCTTTCTCAGCTGTCCCAATTTAAAAAAATGGGTGAAGACCTATTCAGGCTTTAAAAGTGACATTTAATTTTGTCACATGGCTAAAATGATTTTCAGTGATCACTGGAAGGAGACACTGATAGTGACTGGGGCCCAGGTAACGGTAACAGAAAAGATGAAAGATTAAAAAACTCCAGCCCACAGCCAACAGCCATTATCATCGTTATATCAAACAGTAAAGAAGGTTTGCATGGCAAAACATTTTATTAAAGGACTCTATGCTAAGGAAAATGAGCAGTATCACATCCAGAATGCTTTTTCATATTTGGGGGTGACTGCTGCTCGTGCTCATCCCCACACACCAGGGACTGCTGCTATCCAGCTTCCATGGGCTGTGTCCGTGCAGCAGATGGACACAGTGTGGGACCATCAGTGACCAAAGCACTCAGTCGGTTCGTGCAGCCATCAGTTGGATCATGGTGCCACGGTGGGACAGCAGAGGCACTGTTTGCTTCCAGCAGGGCTTGGCCTCTCCCCAGCTCCCCTGGCCATAGCACAGGCAGTTCAGCATTCCCTACAGTGTTTGTTTGTCACAGGGACAGGGCAGCTCTTCTGCACTGGCTTGTGATGGACACAGCAGGAAATGCAGCCTGCAGGAGGCTGCTCTCCTGAGCTTGAAACACCCTAAAAACCCAAAAGAGAAGTGAAACCACCCTTTCTAGAACATGGAAATGTTGAGGGGTGTTCAATGCTCCGGCAGTCAGCAAGGCTCAAAGGGCAGCAGAAATCCCCCATGCTGCACCAACCAGAGCTGTAGGTGTGGGAGCAGGGGCTGCATCTCAGATGTCAGAAAGGAGCACCTGGTTCGTAGGGGTGAGGGACTGGGGAGTGTGAAGGGCCATTCAGTCCCTTCTGGAACTACAGTGGACAACAAGGGACAGGAGGGTGCCCCCAGGCCCTGGGAAGAGCAGTACAGTGGTGGAGTGTGAGCAGAAATTGACCTTCTCCTGGGTCCCCTGCAGCAGTTTTCCCCTGTTTCTCTTTGTCGTGTGTCTGTAAAAGGGATTCCAAACAATACTGCAAGGTACATCCATGAGGAAAAGTTTTCAACGTTGGTCCTTTAATCGATGGATCCTAAATGCCCCAAAATTGTATGTTGTAACATAGCATAACATTTAGAAGTGAACGTGAAACATAACAAAGGTTTTTAGTGTCATGATCAAATTACAATGGCTGCAAGGGTGTGGGCCTGAGATCATAAAAGAGGCCCTATGCAATAAATCGCAAATATTTATGTATTTAAATAAATAAGAGGAAAGAAAGAAAAGGAGAGAGATCTCTGGGAGGAGCACTTTTTGCATTAAGAGGTTATAAGTAATAACAGCCAGCTGTAGAAGGAAAGATCTCAAATCTATGTAGAGGTTGTCAAGCTACTCAGACACAGCATGCCAAGAAGATAAACCTCTCTCTTCCAGGTCAAGTTACTGCCAGGTAAATTATGTTTAAGCCATATTTTCAAGAAGCAATAGTGACCTCACATGGCTTACTAAGTTATTCCATCAGATTGTGATCCTAGCCCTTGTTATTAACTTGGTGGACTAAACTGAATTCAAATCAGAATCTGATCTGAATGCCAGAACAGCCCTGCTTTCCTAGGAATGAACTTCCATTACACTGTGGGATTGTTGGTGACGTGGGGCTGCGGATGGGAACTTTCTCCAGACACTGAAATATCCTGACAGTCCATGGGTGGGGACACAGAAAACTCAGAAAAACTCCCATTCTGCTCCACATGGCCTTCTGTGGGTCAAAGCTCTGACAGGGACTGGGCTGGAATTGTTCCAAATGGAGAGAAGTTCTCTCCAGCACCTTTTCTAGGGAAAACATGAGTTGCAATTTCCTACTAATACCATACAGCACCACTACAGCCTTGGAGATGAGAATTTCTGGCCATCCAAGACCAAGATGTGAGCAATGAGACTTTTTGCACTTGAGTCCCCACTTTGAGAGAGGACTGTGATGGATGGAGAGCAGACAGCTCTTCAGCATACCATCAATAGCTCACCGTCAGGGTTACTCAAAATGATGGAGGCAATGATGATGATATGGTCAGTGCTTCATCCTCTGGCCAGGAGACTTTGAGGTGTGACTGCAGTCATTCTGTGATTAGCACTAAGCTCTGCTCCATCTTCACTTGTGTCTGTACAGAGGATGCTGCCCAGTGGATCTGTGTATCACATTCCACACAAGCAATTGACAGCAAAGAGACGGATCAGAAGCCAGGCAGGATTTGCAGATGCTCAGATCTGTTCAAAGCCCTCTGGCAGATCTGCAGATTGGAGCCACAACTCCGCCCTGAGCTGGGCTCCTGCCTGAGGCACCGCCCGCTGAGAGCTGCTCACGTTGCAGCGAGTGTGCACAGGGTTCAGACCGGGAGATCTGTGCGTGACAGCCTGTGGAGGAAGAGGAGAGGGGCCAAGGTCATCCCTTGTGCTGAAAGGAAGACGCTGGAGAAAGCCTGAGCTGCATGTGCAGCTCCCCATCACCTCTGCTCATACATTCCTGAAAGCTGACACCGCCAGTCATTTTTTGTTTGGTTCCAAGGTGCTCATACTTCAGATGACGGCAACTTGACATCCCCATCCATTATGCGAAGGGATTGCGGAAATAACTCGGCTCTCCCTCTTGCTGTGACATCCATCGTGCAGCACAGAGCCTGCCTTCCTCCATTTCAGGCACCAGGCGCCTCAAGCTCCCTGCTGTGCTCGGCCTTGAGGAAGGCAGAGGAGTGTTTTCCAAAGTCTGGCTTGTCCTGCCACAAAATCAGAGTCCAATTGGCACATCAGAGCTTTTCTCCTTGCGTATCAGCCACAGGTGCTTGGGGTGAAGCACAAGGCCTTTAACAAGAGCATAGAGATAATATAATATCACATTATGGGAGGCAAGTATGCTTCATTAAGCAATAACTGAAAATTGTACAATTGAGAAAGGAGCCAGAAAATTAAGACCTACAGCTCTTATGTATATAGCAAAATATCGTTAGCTTTGAGGTGGGGAACTGTGTTACCTTCTACACCCTGTTGACTTTAAGCACTTGTGTTCTTAACACACACACAGCAAGCTGGCTCAGGAAATACAAACTATAGTAATTGCTTCAAATCTTGTCTCATCATTCCTGGGAACAGATGTCACTAGGGAAGGGACCTGCAGCAGGAGGAGGGGCAGAGCAATGGGATGCTCTGGAGAGAGGAGAAGAAAATCAGAGTACTTTTGCATTAGTGAAATGGGATACCCATCTGGACACACAGAGAGGGCTGGCAGCGCGCTGTTACTGCACCATGGATCTGACTATGACATCTTGTAGTTGCTTTTACCAACAGGCATTTATGTGATCAACAGCAATTAGGAGAAAATACGTCAGATGGGAGACACACCAGTGGGTGAACACAAATCCTTCCTTTGCTTAAGCATTGCTGGAGTTTAAACCTTTTGCAGAGGGGATTCATTTTCTTTCTGTCTTTCTTTCTTGGAGGGGAGGGGGGGGAGAGGGGGAACTGGAGAGGAGGGAAGGAAGACTTGAAGTGGAAAAACAAAACTAAAAAAAAGCAGCTGTGGAGCCGCGTGTGCAAATGCTGCAGAGGAAAGCAAAGACGCGCTTACAAAACAAGCCAGGAATGCTGGGGCCCGAGCTCTGAAACGCATACGGTTTATGTTGTTCTTACCACAAACCAAAAATATGTTCCCATTTGAAATGGTTGAATCCACAGCTGTTTTAAAATCCCTTGGTACTTCTGAGACAAATGATCCAAGTCAGACTGTGCTAACAGGGTCAGTTTGAGAGCCAAGTGAGAGCTGTGACTGATGCAGAATCACTGCAGCTCCATCCCTTTCCACATCAATCATCGCCCAATGAAAATCCTGTGGGGCTGTCGGACTCTCTTACAATATTGTTTACATTAGGAGATGATGTAAAGCTCCTCCAGCTCAACTGTGCTGCTGGATGATGATCCTCATAACGGCAAATGGGCTTCAGCTGCAGCTGTAGGACAGCATGGAGAGATGCAAGAACATACCCCGGAATTTACATCTACAAAAGCAGTCATTAATGTTTCATAAAATACACTCATTGATTCATCTCTGCAGGCAAATTCTCTCCCTTTAAACAGATGATTATAAAGCACCTTGGGGCAAGTCCGCATCCTAGGCGCTCTGTAAAGTAGCCGTGCTGATATTGTCATAAAAGCTGAAATGGCTTTAATACATTTCCTCACAATAGCAGTTTTAATTCACTCGGAGAGAGCTGGCTGTCTGGAAAATAATATTTTTCTCAGATTCACACCTGAGGTCAAAACCTTGCCCTCCACGCCAGAGCTAATAAATCACGCTTCTTTTCGCCTGCTCCCTGTGAATTGCCTGGACGGTGTCTTGTGGGAAGACAAAAAAGGGCCTTTGAGGGAGCACACAGCATGGAGGGGGAGGGCACGGGAAGGCCCCCGCGTGTACTGTAGTCACGTATGAGAAGGGGAGGCTCACAGCTGTTCCCAGCCTTGAAAAGAAAGCCTCGGCACCTGTTTAATCTTGACTGAAAGGTCTTAAGTTATGGCCGTTATGCTCTAATACACCCCATCAAATAATTGCATATTAAATGTGCAGAAAAGAAATGCTGCTCGAAGCAGCGGGGATAGAGCAGCATGGCAGCCTCCCTCTCTCACCCTATGTGCCCCCATTCAGGCCGTCCTTTCCTCTTCCTCTGCTGCTCATCAATACACAAAAATGCCCACCGCACCCAGTGCCCTAAGTCTGTCGACAGGGAGGGCAGATGCTGTTGAACCGCTCCAATTCTTCTCTCCTTTTGGACCATCCCTCCCCATCTCTCCCTGCATGAACCAGCCAGGTGCCCTGCACAGGCCGGGACACCCCTGAGGATCAGCAGCCTGCCTGGGCAGGTCTCGCAGCGATGGGAGCATCTGGAGGTGCCCGAGGCTGCTCCGTCCTCAACAGATGAATGCTCTGCTTCATGGCAACGCAGCACTCTGGTCCCAGGGACAACAGGAAATGCGGTCACATGAACCATTTGGCCATGCACTTCTGGCAGATTCAGCTTAAAATCAGGCTTCACATGTGGTTTTAGAGGTAACCGATGTCTGGTTTGATATTCTGTTGACACGGTCTGTTTTCAGATGTGGTTTCCAGCACAGGCCTCACAAGTGCTCCTGTCCTGACAGAGCAACAGGAGGAGCTCCCTCAGCTCACAAGATAGACTCATGTCAGCACATTTGAGTGGACTTCCAACGCTGGCCCTGGAGGGCTCAGGATAAGGAGTTAGAGGCTCCTAGCGTCCCAGGCACACCTGGCATCCTTGCCAGAAGGCCCCAGGACAGCTCTGAACTTGCAGCTGCAGTTCCCAGTCTCCCCTGGTCCTTCCCCTTTCAGGGATGAACACTCATCATGAGGTGTTACCGCATCTTTCATCACGTGCCACCAACTGTGGGGAAGGGCAGATGGCACAGTTTGGAGGTCACCTTACCAACAGTGTCCTGACAGGAGAAGATGGAGGCTCCCTTACTGTGCCTTGGCAGAAGAAGTGGGTGCATGAGAAGGCCTCTTTCAGTAGCTTGTTTCTCCAGCCTCAGTGCAGCTGTGTGTTTAGTGTAGAGGAAGCAATGTCAGAGAAAAACTCCTCACAGTGGAAAAGGAGATGGTGAAAGTCTGATGCTGCCTGGTGTCTGGGGCTGTTCCCTCCACTGTGGCAAACTGGCCCCTGAAAATGCTTTGCTGTCCGCACAAAAGAGCTTTATGCTGATGAGAGAGACTTCTATTGTGCCGAAGGAGCTTGACAATACAACAGCCCTCTTTGTGTGGCTGCTTCACCCATCAGCCATATGCAGTCTCAAGGCAAGGTTTGCATACTGTAGAGGGCATTACATGATCCCTCTGCACAGAGATACATTCAGCTCGAACAGTGTTATTTTTGTCTCATTTTTTAATGGCTGCTAAGAGGGGGCAGACAAAGACAATGGCAGGGAAACTGAGGCATGAGCTCTGCAGATACTTTATGTATTTCACTTACAAACATGGACAGGAAAAAAAAAATCAGTGAGGTCCTGATTCGCCTAATTGCCCAGCAGTGGCAGAAAGTGAATAGGCAGAGTTTGCTTCAACCTGCACAGACTGAAGCTTCAACTCACCATATATCTACTCAGCCACCCACTACTCACCCAAACAACCCACATGGCAGCTTGGACACTCCATCAGGGCTGTGCCTGCTGCTCTGGAAGAGCAATAGAAAATAATTTCAAGTGTTCAGTGTTTCTGTCCTTGCTGGAGACTAGAACTGGGCTGTTACGGTACTTTTCTATCCTCTTCTTCACTGTAAGCAGTGTAATTGCAGATGTTGGGAATGCCACCCTGCCCTCTTACCAGTTGCAACTTTAAACAAGCAGTTTGCTTACAGTGACCAACTAGATTGGTATTTCCTAATGCTCTTTACTGACTGGATTATCTTTCAGCCTCAGAGCATCTGCAGCCACACGTTAGCTGGTCAGGAACGCCCCTCTGTGTCAGGCCTTATTGCTAAATTACCCTGAGACGGAATGGTCATGGGCTGTCAGAGGGCTGCAAGGTTCATCTATCGCTGACACTCAAATGCAGGGGGATTTTCTGGAACAACACAGCTCGCAGATCCTTGCTTCCAGCTGGCTCCTGCCTCTGTTTCACCAGCAGCAGACTGCATTGCTGGGTGCTACAACAGATCCTCCACCAAACTGACTCATTTCAGCATCACATTCAGCAGTACCCTGAGCTCATAGCACAGAAGGACGTCTTTACCAGGATATATTTATTTTTACAGTCCATTCAGAAGACTCAGCACCGTGACCAGTCACCTTCCTAGCAGCAAAAAGTTGACAAGTGCTTTTTTCTAAATCTGCTGTCTGTCAGGGGCTCAACCAGGCAAATCTCAATTTATTTTCTTAAGACAATAAAATAAAACAACTTTACATGAAAATAAGGCCCTCAGGTACAATCTCAAACATTTCTGCTATTCACTGCAGGCTCAACATTTTTTTTCTTCCTCCTATTTAACATCCCACCACTGTCACCCATCCTTGCCTACCAGAAGGTAGGCAATGTGCCTCCCAGGAATGACAGGCGGTTGTGGCTGGTTACTCGCAGACAGCCCAAATCCTGGTTACAGCTGAGGAGGTGAGTGCTGTGGCTGTCTGAAGAGTTTTGAGTCCACTTCCAGCACTTTAGTTCGCGATGTCAGCCTGCCTTCTCTCCTAATCCTCTCACAGCTATCTGTAGTGCAAGAGCAGTCCTGACTGAGCTGCATTTCTTTAATCTTTTCAGGCTGCTAAAATCCAAGCTGTCAAATACAAGTTAGCAAACTGAAAACACAGATGTCAATTCTTGACTGAGTTTTCCACATGGGCTGGACATGCTTTTAAGGTGAAAGCGCCGGTCCCTTTCATCACGCCCATCCTCTGCAGCCAGTCACTTGCTGCCTATAGCATTCACTGTGCTTCTCTGCAAGCATTGCTTTTCACACCCACCAGTTTCATGCAGCTCTGGTGCACAACATGCATGGTTGGAATTGATTACACACAAAAGCAAGGGCTTTGTGACATGTCTCTCCTGTCACACTGCATGGGGACCAAAGATTTCCCAGTGTTTGAGATTGGCCTGAAGCAGGGGTGTATGGGAACTACTGAGTCACGGCCTGAACCTCTGATTGATCACCTGAGGCGAGCCATGAGTCAGCCAGAGGAGCACAGGTGAAGGCAATTCACTTGTGCTGCCGGAACAGGTGGAGCCTGGCCTGGAGCCTCCTAGACCTATTTAAGAGCTGGCTACCAGGGGGGAAGGATCTCATCTGGAGATTGCATCTATTGGTGTTTTGTGGTGAGCTCAGCCTAAGGGTAAGCCTTGCATTTTATTCTCTTTTGTTATCATTGTCTGCTTTGCCTAACTCTCTTGATTATATTGTGATTGTAACATCTCGATATCCACTGATTATACAAGGGGCATTCGGAATACAAAGAAAGTGTGCTTAACAACATTGTTCCTTACCTAGAAACAGAGATCCTGCTTGCTCACATACATGAAGAGACTTGACTTGCAACATGTGCAGCCAAAGGTGCAGCATACTTGTGCTCACCATGTGTTGCCTATGAAGTAAAAAAACATTGGACTTCCCTATGGCTCCATGAGAGCCTTTATTTGCCACCCAGGCCTTTCTTCATCAGCACACCCTAGACCTGCTCCAGAGGGCAATACATCTCACACACAGTGAGCAGACTACATCTGCCACTGCTCCAGTGTGAGAGAAGCCCGTTAATTTAATCCTGATGAATATACTAGTACTCCTTCCATCTTCCCTGCTAGCTTTTGAGTTTTCTTCACTTGCCACAATTTCTATTCCGGCCTGTAAAGTGCTTGAGGGCAAGGACTGTCATATCTGAGCCAGGCTTGCACAAGGACCAGCACAGTGAGTCTTGAGGGGTGGCAAAGAGAAGCCTTAATACTGGATAAGCAAGGGTAATAAAGGCAGAGTCTAGCTGCTGGAATGAGACTAAGCCTACCAATCCATTTCTGCCAAGGCCATCCGAGGTACTGACTTCAGGACACTGCCCAGCTCACTTGGATTTAGTCTGCTGAGATACAGAGGAGGGCTGGCTTAGCATGTCAGCCTGCCAGAGCCAAATCTGATTGATTCCTCAGTCACCCACCAGAATTACCCCTGAGAAGCAGCTGTTCATTTTCAAAGATTTCAGGGAAACTCAGGAGCTGAATAAATATTAAAGCAAAGTCTCTCCTAATTAGGTGATCAATAAGTGAAGTTGAAATGTGAAAACAACAATTCCTAGCAATGCTGCATGCACTTATTTTGTCCTCAGCAACTCTATCACCAGCTACATTGAGATGAGGTAATAAGCCTGAGATAAGCCCCTGTATTTCCAGACAGGTGCACCATTCTGTTGGGTTCTTTGTTGTTTATTTGTGTTGGAGGGGGTTTGGGCCTTTTTTTACTGCCTTTGTTCGAAGCGTAAAGAATGGGCCACTGCCAGAGGGAGGGTACCAGGCTTGATAGACCAGTGGTCTGATCAGGTCTGGCATATCCTTTGTTCCTCTGTTCCAATTTAATGCCTGCTGGGAGTGAATTCCAGTCATGTGGGGATGCTTTCACCAATGAATATTTACCAATATCCTGATTACCATGGGAATATAGTTAAAAAAACAACTCCAGGTGAAGTGAACGCATCCTAGAATTAGCACTCACAAATAAGTAATGAGTGCTTTTCTTTAACAGTGAAATAAACAACAAAAACATACTGCTTTGATTCATGCGTGCATTTAGGACTAAAGCAATTCAAGGCAGCATTTTCCATGTGTTAGCGGTACAAGGTCTAGATTTCTAACTACTGATAAACCTATGTATCATGTTGTAATAAAGCATTATTTCAATGATGCGCTGCAGTAGCCAAATACCAGGTAGTAATCTGCTTTCTTTAACTGCAGAGAAACTGATGCAGTAATAGTGCCAGGAACACCTCTGTCACGCTGAGTCCTGTGTATGTCTTCATGCCACCTTTATCATTGGCTTTCCCAGTCATGGTCTGAAGATCACTTGGTGCTTACCTGTGGGAACTGGCTGACAATGCAGCACTTATTCTACCTCCTTTATAGCTGCTAAACTCACTAAAACAAGCAAAGAATCAATGATTCTCTTCCCAGGTGTCACACAGATGAGTAAGTAATTGCAGCAGCTATGGCGATGGCATGCCAGTAGCTGAAGAAGAGAAGGTGGGCTCTGCGACTGCGTGTGGAAGTGGAGGACGTGGCCACTGGGTGATCTCTGCTCTGACATGTTAATGAGTCTCAGCCCCCACATTGGGCTGTTTCAGCTATTGAATCAGTGGCAGGAGGAGATAAACGAGAGCTGTTCCTGGCCTCAAACATAGCAAGACCTCTGAGTACTGAGACCTTGCGAGGTTCTCAGCTTTCTCTTCTTTAAATGAGGTCTACAAGAAAGAAGCAAACCTGGAGAGGAGCTTTGCAGCACAGCACTGTTAATGCAGTGGTGGAAGGGACAGATTCTGCCTCATGGAGAAGCAGAGGCCTTTTGAGTTATTCATAGTAAGGGGTTATTCTGCTTTGTAGGCTGGGTCAGTTTCAACTCTACATCCAGAAGTGCAGAACTGCTCTGGCCTACGCAGTGCTCAACAAAGCAAGGCTGGCAGACACAACATTCAAAGGCCTATCTGCCTAAAAATCACAAGATTTTACAATGGCATATGACAAGAGTGTGAGATCTCAGGTATAAGACTTTTACATGGTATTTCATTGTCCTTTCTGATATTTTTCCTTAAGAACAATTATAGATTTGATAGGGAGATTTCGTGTGTATTTTTGTCTGAAAACATCCTATAAACCCTTAATTCCAAAGTCTATGACTCAGGGGAAAAATAAATCAAAGACAAACAGTGAAAGCTCTGGTGCTGGCAATGCAAATTCTCTGTTCTGCTCTGTGACGCTGATTTGCTGTCCTGCATGCAAATCCCCAGCCTCTAGAGGGGGGAGAGTTTCACCTTTTGCTTCAAGTGCAAAATGATGACAGGTTCAGGATTTTCTCGGTTTACTGCAGTTTTGGGCAGGCAGAGATTTGGGGAGGAATCTGGAGTTGCCAGTTTCACTTTTCCTTAAATATGGCTCTGAAACTTTAACAATATCCAGACTCTGAGATGAGCA